GAAATGATGCGGTTGGGCAGGTCGTCGTTGATGGTTGGGTGCTGGTCAAGGATCCTGGAAGGCACAGACAGACCTTGTGCAGGGCCTGGGCAGTGGGACAGGCAGCACAGGGGCAGGTCGTTGCCGGGGCGCTTACCGGTGCTGGGGCTGCAGGCCGTACAGCGCATGGTCAAAGCGGGCATTCACCTTCCTCTCCAGGAAAAAACTGATGGCGTTTTGAGGCAGCAGGCTCTGGAGGAGCTGTGTGAAGCGGCTGATATAGGAGATGTCGAAGGGGTACCCACCATCTGCCACCCGGTGCAGCACCCAGGTCCCACGCTTGGTGCTGAGGAAGACCTGGAAGGGAGGAGAGCGAGAGGAGAGGGAGAGGGAGAGGGAGAGGGAGCGATATGGCAGCATCCTTGGGACTGGGCTGGGTCCCCACTGTGCTCCTTGGACAGGGATGCTGGCACAGTTGCTGGGACCACAACCGCCACCCCCATCCAGAGGGGACGGAGTGCTCATGGCTGGGTGCTGGAGGGAGGGGAGCCCGCACGGGATGGTACGGGTTTGCTCGCTGCCCTCTGGGGTCTGAATAATAAGCCCCCCAGCCCCGGCGGCTCTCCCAGCACACCTGCTTGGCTGCGTGGCTCAGCTCCACTGCGATGTCGATGCCCGAATTCCCGCCGCCAACCACGACCACCCGCTTCCCCGTAAACCACTGCGGGCTCTTGTAGTCCCGGCTGTGTAGGTACCAGCCCTCAAACTTTTCCAGCCCTGGAAGAGAAAGGAAGCTGTGCCAGGCAGGGAGTGGCTGTCCCCCTGCTGAGACTGGTGGTGTGTTTTGTGAACAGGCTGGGACGAGCATGACCAACGGGAGCGATGCAGCCCTGGGATGGTGCCCAGAGAGGTGGTGGCATCTGCAGCCTGGGAGATGCTCAGTGTGGCCCTGAGTGTCCTGCTCTGGCTTTGGGGCTGGCCTGGCTTGGTGCAGGGCTTGGACTCCCATCCTAAAATCCTCCTGCAGTTCCTGTCTGGTGCCAGGCACTGGGGGCAGAGGAGCAGCCGGGGTCTGTACCATCCCACCAGACCCTGGTGACGGTGTGCTCCAGGCTGTTCCCCAGACAAAGAGGGTCTCCACGGCTGAAAGCCCTCCAGGCATATCTGCCTGGCACCCAGAGGAGAAGGCCACCACCAGCACTGAGATTTTAAGCTTTGCTGTGGAGCTGGAGAGACCAGCACATGCACGGCCAGCAGCTCAGGGAGTCTGTCTCTGGTGGGAGAGATGAGCTGGCACTGGTGACACCTGCCTGCAGGGCACTTTGGTCAGGCACTGATGGTGCAGCAAAAGCCACCAAGGACAGGCCACCAAGAGGAACAGCATGCTCGTGTGATCCCACCTGGTCCGTTAACATGTCGAGCCATTTTTGGCAGCAACCAGAGTGGGGTGGGGGTTAAGATAGAGAGGAGGGTTGTCCCAGGGGTGTCAGGGACCAGGCAAGCAGCCCGCGGGGCAGTACCTGGGAAGGTGCTCAGCGGGAGGTGCGCTTCGCTGTGGTGCCCAGTGCACACCAGCACGGCGTCGAAGACGGCCGCCTCCTGCTTCCCCTCGCTCTCAGTCACCACCTCCCACTGGCCCGTGGTGGCAAAGTCGGGACGCTTGGCCACGTGGCACACGCTGGTCTGGGTGCAGGGGGAGCGGGCGTCAGGCACCCTGCGCCCCCCAGCCCCGCTGCCGGCCCCCCCTTACTCACCCGGAAGCGGATGTGGCGGAGCAGGTCGAAGTGCTGGGCGTACATGCGGAAATACTCCATGATCTTGGAGTTGTGCATGTAGTTGGGGAAGTCCTCCGGGATGGGGAAGTCGCTGAAGCACATCATCTCTTTGGAGGTGTTGATGATGACAGAGCGGTAGATGCTGGCGCGGCCCTCCTCGGGGCGCTCCTGCGGGAGCGGGGCACGGCTCGGCACTGGCCAGGGACCCCAGGGCTGCCTGCCTGCCCTGCCTGGCACCTCACCGTGCCTGTGGGAGCAGGATTAAGCCATTGGGTGAATGTATCACCCGTTCCTGAGCCCATCACCGTTCCACGAGTGCGACCACCCACCCCACAAAACAGGGAAGAGGAAGCTCTGGGTTGGTGGGGACCATGCAGTGGTGACAGCAGGTCATGGGGGGTCTTGTGCCTCAGTTTCCCTGCTCCCACCCCTGGCCCTCATGAGGCAGCGTGTTCCCAAAGCAGCCTGGTTGCCACATCGGGTCTTGCCTGTTGCTGAGCCCCCTCTGGTGCTGCCAGCTGAGTGGCTGCTCCTGCTCACTGGGTGTCTGACCCAGCAGTCAGGCTCTGCTGCACTGGCTCTGCGCTACCAGCCCCCTTTCTGATCCACTATGGGCAGAACCAGCGGGCTGTAACTGAGCCACCCCAAAACCCCACCCTGGCGTGGTGCAGTGTCCGCCTGTCGGGCTCCCCCACCTGCATATCAGGGCATGGTGGGAAGGCTTGTCTTCTTGTAGGTGCATCCCCAGGGGAAAAGTCATCAGCCTCATTAGGTGGGGGCAGAAATGAGCTCTGGGTCTTCCCCCAAGGCAGGGAGAGCCAAGGCACAGAGGAGGGAGTGCTCTGTGCCTCTGCGTGGGTGAGCAGCACAGAAGCAGAGAGAGGAGCAACAGGGGCTTCCAGGGAAGGGCTGGACAGTACAGGGACCGGGACAGCCAGTGGCGTCACATGGGACTGGGATCTGTAGGAAAAGGGTGGAGGGGGACCAAGAGCAAAACAGCAGGGGAAGGGACGGATGAGACCAGGAAGGGAGGGGTGGGAAGGGGGAAGGCTGAGCTGGGGAAGCAAGTCCTGGGGTAAGGTCCTTGGGGAGGGTCCGTCAGCCTGTGCTGCTGCTGGTGGGAAGGAGATAGGTGCCATGTGGCTGGCCCACCAGCTGGCACCATGGGGACCTCCTGCTGCCACAGCAGTTTTTCTTTCCCGTCCTTTTCCTTGGAAAACTGATTGCCACACACATGCAAAGCTGGGGAGCAGTGCTTCGTTAGCTTCCAACCACCTACCCCAGTCCCATCCGTGCTGCTGCCGTGGGGCAGGCTGGCGCAGCACAGGGCTTACCTCAAAGCGCCAGAGCCCCCCGATGTCCCCGCTCCTCTCGAAACATGTGGGAACCAGCCCCTCATCCAGGCAGCATTTCAGGGCGCACAGGCCAGAGGCACCGGCACCGATGATGGCTACCGTTCTGGGAGCCCAGTCCTGCAGTGGTGGCAGGGATGCTGGGGAAGCCTCAGCCGAGGGAGAAATATGCTCAGGGGGGTGCAGAGCCTGGCGGGTCACACAGGGGGGATTTGTGGTGCTGCTCGTTTGGGGATGGCCATCCCTGTGCTTCCCGTGCGTGACTGAGCTCAGGTGGGATGTCACAAGGTGTGTTTCTTCCAGACATGATCTACAGGTTCCTCACGCCGCCGTGCCACACCTTCTGCCCGCATCCGCCCTCCCCAAAGAGCTCATTAGCTTCTGTAAGTAAGTGCTTAATGTTGCCGACGCTGCAGTGGAAATTCCTGGGCGTGGGGGGTGAGATGTGGCCACGGTCCAGATTTTGGCAGGTTGTGGTGTGGAAAACAAAACTGGGGGGATGCTCGGGGCACTCGTGGCTGGAAGCCGTGCCGGCCCCTGTATGTGATGGCCTGGACCCCCTGTCACCGCTCCAGGTCCCCAACCCACCCAGCCATCCTTTGGAGGTGCAGCGTGCAGGTGATGAGGGTGGCACTGAGCCGTGCTGCTCTGACCACCGTGACCCACTCTGGTGGTGCACCCTCTGGGCGAGGCTGTTTTGCTGTGGACACATATATGTGCATGTGTGTGCCT